ACCCAAAGATGGTGGAGGAATTTTTGACCCTCTAAGGCAGGACTGCACAGCAGTATTATTGTTTTCAATACATGTAAAGCATCTTTTAAATCTGATACAGATAGTAAAGTTGCAGGATATAAAATTAACACACAGAAATCCCTTGCATTCCTATACACTAACAATGAGAAAACAGAAAGAGAAATTAAGGAAACAATACCATTCACCATTGCAACAAAAAGAATAAAATACTTAGGAGTATATCTACCTAAAGAAACAAAAGACCTATACATAGAAAACTATAAATCACTGATGAAAGAAATCAAAGAGGACACAAACAGATGGAGAAATATACTGTGTTCATGGATTGGAAAAATCAATATTGTCAAAATGGTTATACTACCCAAAGCAATCTATAGATTCAATGCAATCCCTATCAAGCTACCAACGGTAGTTTTCACAGAACTAGAACAAATAATTTCACAATCTGTATGGAAATACAAAAAACCTCGAATAGCCAAAGTAATCTTGAGAAAGAAGAATGGAACTGGAGGAATCAACCTGCCTGACTTCAGACTCTACTACAAAGCCACAGTCATCAAGACAGTATGGTACTGGCACAAAGACAGAAATATAGATCAATGGAACAGAATAGAAAGCCCAGGGATAAATCCACGGACCTATGGTCACCTTATCTTCGACAAAGGAGGCAAGGATATACAATGGAAATAAGACAACCTCTTTAACAAGTGGTGCTGGGAAAACTGGTCAACCACTTGTAAAAGAATGAAACTAGAACACTTTCTAACACCATACACAAAAATAAACTCAAAATGGATTAAAGATCTAAACGTAAGACCAGAAACTATAAAATTCCTAGAGGAGAACATGGGCAAAACACACTCCGACATGAATCACAGCAGGATCCTCTATGACCCACATCCCAGAATATTGGAAACAAAAGCAAAAATAAACAAATGGGACCTAATGAAACTTAAAAGCTTTTGCACAACAAAGGAAACTATAAGCAAGGTGAAAAGACCGCCCTCAGATTGGGAGAAAATAATAGCAAACGAAGCAACAGACAAAGGATTAATCTCAAAAATATGCAAGCAACTTCTGAAGCTCAATTCCAGAAAAATAAATGACCCAATCAAAAAATGGACCAAAGAACTAAACAGACATTTCTCCAAGGAAGACATACAGATGGCTAAAAAACACATGAAAAGATGCTCAACATCACTCATTATCAGAGAAATGCAAATCAAAACCACAATGAGGTACCATTATACGCCAGTCAGGATGGCTGCTATCCAAAAGTCTACAAGCAATAAATTGCTGGAGAGGGTGTGGAGAAAAGGGAACCCTCTTACACTGTTGGTGGCAATGCAAACTAGTACAGCCGCTATGGAAAACAGTGTGGAGATTTCTTTAAAAACTGGAAATAGAACTGCCATATGACCCAGCAATACCACTTCTGGGCATACACACTGAGGAAACCAGATCTGAGAGAGACACGTGCACCCCTATGTTCATCGCAGCACTGTTTATAATAGCCAAGACATGGAAGCAACCTAGATGCCCATGAGCAGACGAATGGATGAGGAAGCTGTGGTACATATACACCATGGAATATTACTCAGCCATTAAAAAGAATCCATTTGAATCAGTTCTAATGAGATGGATGAAACTGGAGCCCATTATACAGAGCCAGAAAGATAAAGACCATTACAGTATACTAACACATATATATGGAATTTAGAAAGATGGTAACGATAACCCTATATGCAAAACAGAAAAAGAGACACAGATGTACAGAACAGACTTTTGGACTCTGTGGGAGAAGGCGAGGGTGGGATGTTTCGAGAGAACAGCATCGAAACATGTATATTATCTAGGGTGAAACAGATCACCCACCCAGGTTGGATGCATGAGACAAGTGCTCGGACCTGGTGTACTGGGAAGACCCAGAGGGATCGGGTGGAGAGGGAGGTGGGAGGGGGGATTGGGATGGGGAATACATGTAAATCCATGGCTGATTCATGTCAATGTATGACAAAACCCACTACAATACTGTAAAGTAATTAGCCTCCAGCTAATAAAAATAAATGAAAAAAAATAAATCTGATACAGACTTCCAGGTCCCAGGGGACAGTAGAGTAACCAGTAGTGTGTAGTATTAGAATCTACTAGATGTATATCCTCAGCGGCTTCACTGATGGCCCTGGGGTCCTGTACCATATGTTAATTCCCATTGGATGTCTTTATGGGGAGAATGGAGGTATTATATGCTGCTAGGCATGTTCTAATAAGGCCCTGGACAGTTAGGCCATGTGATAGGGCAGTACCCAACAAGACTTCCCAATGGAGAGGGTACTGTTTTCTATTGGGCCATTTATATACACATTTTAGGTGGATTATCATGGAACTGGCTTCTGCAGCTTATCCCACCCATGCTTGGGCTCAGATCTCAGATTTATTCCAAGGAGATTAACTTGCTCTGTCTGGGAAGGTTTGTCATCAGCCATTATTAACATTATCATCTTGTGCCCTTTGTCTAAGGGAACACCAATCTCCAATTTGTTTCCCATTAGGTGTATAGTAGCCCCCAATTTATTAAGATATCCCTTCCTGGCAGGAGTATGGGGTGTGTGGGAACATACAGAAAGGAGGGGATGAGCCTATGTTTGCCCACTTTACACTCTGATGGTCCTATGAATACCCATTCATGGGCCTCCCCTGATAGCCCCATAATTCTACATGTCTTGTGACTGAGTGTTCCTGATTTGATGTTCAGAACTGAGTAGGTAGCACCAGTGTCAACTAAGAATTTGACAGGCCTCCCCCTCTGTCGAATGTCCACTGGGGTTCCTGGGGTCAGCTGGAGTGCCAGTTTAGCAGCTTCCTGTCCCCATCATTCTTCTTTTGTTTGGCATTCCCTTCCCATGACTCAGGATAAGTGGTAGTATAGATTTGGAGGCATTGCCTGAAGTACCTGAAGGAATGCCAAAGGTTTTCTGTTGACTCTTGATTGATTTCCCTAATCTTTTTCCAATGGACAGGTTTCTTTCCTACAGAAACATTCCTGAGTCAGGGAGCGATACCCAGAAACTTCCAGTTCTGCAGAATGCACCCTAATGAGCTGTCCTTCTGTATGGCAGACACCTGGTTCCCCATAACTTAGATGTTCTATCTTGGATTTTTTTCATACTATCAAGGGGAGCAGTTGAAGTGATTTGATCATGATTGTACATGATTTGACATAAAAAGACTACAACTACTACTAAGACTTCCATTTCAGGAAATTTGGAACCAGCACCAAACTGTTAACGGATTCCTCAAAAAACTAAAATGGGAGGTGTCGAAATGGCATGGACTCCGATCTAACTGGGGGTTAGACTGACCCTTTTGAGTCAGTCCCCAGCAATATTCCTGCCCCAAATCATTCAAGCCAATAAGAATGAAACCAAGTCAGATCAAAAGTAAAAGTAAGTTTTATTCTCTCATCAGAGAATGGAGATGTGTGAGATTGTGCTCTCAAGAAGAGCTTTCCCCAACAGGCCGACTCTGGGGCTGCTTTATAGGTACCTCATCAGTGGGAAAGAGTGTGGAGTTCTTAAGGGTCAGGCACAGCTGTGCTGCTCATGGCTCCAGATCGTAGTGCCAGGTACAGCATCTCTGCCCATCGCACCCTGCCACCATCTCAAATTGAGGCATCCCGCACAGCACTTCTACACATGTTCTGCTGAGCCTAAGGATGAGGCACAGCCTTTTCACACTAGGAACTCTAGTCTGAAATGCTGGGTACAAGGCCTCTGCACAGAATATCCTATAATCAAGTGAAACTAGACTAAGTACAAAGGAAAAGAAAAAGGTTAGACTTTATTACTCAGATTCTACTTCTATTTCTTGGGAATTGTTAATGGACTTTGCCAGTGACAGCCACCACTGTAAATAGCTCTGCTGCCACTGTTACTACAATTCTTAGTATTGTATGAACCCACAGTTTATGTCTGTTATAGATGCCAATAAGATAACTACCAAAAAAAAAATCATGAGAAGAAATATTTGGTAGCCCTTTTCACATACAGTATATAAATACCATAACAGTGATACTTCTGTTGACAGTGTTTGGAGTTTGAAAGATCAGTGAGAAATATAAATATAAATAACAAAAGAATAAAGTTATAAATAAGCATATAGTATAATAAAAAAGTAAGTGTATGCATGCATGCTCAGTTGTGTCCAACTCTTTGCAATACCGTGAACTGCAGCACACCAGGCTCCTCTTTCCATGAGATTTCCCAGGCAAGAATACTGGAGTGGGTTGCCATTTTCTACTCCAGGGATCTTTCCAACCCAGGGATTGAACCCAAGTTGGCAGGTGGATTCTTTACCACTGAGCCACCTGGAAAGTTCAATAAGTGTGTAATAAAACACAAGTAAAATAAGCGCTAAGTAACAAGCCTAAATAACAAGAATAATTACTTACATGAAAACATGCTACAAAATTTAAGGAGTTTTAATTCAATCTGTAAATATGTTATTAATGTATTCATAAATCACATTCTGGTAGAGTATACTGTTGGGTAAAATAAAGCATCAACAATTTATTGGGTTGTCCAGTAAGTTTGTGTGGGTTTTTCCATACAATCATCCAGAAAAACCGAAATGAACTTGGCTAACCCAATTCTTCTTGTCTAGGATGTTCAGGGTCGTGCATGAGATGTTTCTTATTATCGTCTACAGTAAGCTTGATTTCCCTAAGTAATTGCTTTAAAATGGAACACACAGAAATATAAGTTCTCCTATGTTTTTAACAAGGCATGTTGTACTACACCAATATCTGGGCTTACAGTATCCAGTGGGCTAGCAGATGGTACACTGATTCTACTTCCTGCAATTGGCAGCAGAAGCAAAGTGCTGCCATGTTACTGAGACGCCCCCTTTCCCAAAGATCCTATGCCTGCCAACTAAAGGAGTTATAACTCTAGATATTTCTGATCCCTCCTTCCCCTCAGGAATCCATAAGTTTAAAGGCCAGATCCTACACAGCCAAGAGTACAAGATCCCAGCAGGCTTTCAGGGCAAACGCGTCTTAGTGATTGGTCTTGGAAACACTGGAGCAGACATTGCCGTGGAGCTCAGTCGAACCGCTGCTCAGGTACACCATCTCTGAATCTGCATTCCCACCCCTAGCATCACTTCTGGGGTCCGGAAGGTGGTATTCAAGGATATAAAACACACTGGCCAAAATATGTGGAAATTATGTGGAATTGCTTAATTCCACATTTGCTAAATTATGTGGAAACAGGGTAAATGAGAAAAGGAAATCTTGAAAATCCGTAAAGCCTTTTGTGATGCATGCTTTACAGAACTGAACCATCTCCAAGAAGGGTCGAGGAAAACTGTATGGATGCCAAACCACTAGGTATTTTTCAGAGGAGCTCCTGGAACAAGGTCAAATGGGCAAATTGCTCTGCCCACATCAACTATCTTTCTTTTACATAGTCTCAGTAATTCTGGAAAAACTCCCACATACAAAGAGAAAGGGGAGTTTGTTTTCTGAACATCTCTTCAATTAGGAGTCAGATTTATACTTTGTTTTGAAGTAAAAGCACCTCTTACTTTGCCCAAGATGTATACATAATGATTTTAGAAATCCCAAGCATAGGTTCACCAATTAGAAATCTATTCCACTTTATCATAAGTTATAGGACAATGATTAGATGTGGAAATAGTAGATTTTTATTTAGTTCAGCTAAAATTGCTATCTCAAAACTCACTTTAAATTCCATATTATTTATGTAAAAAATTGCCAGATAAACAGCACATATCTACTATTCTTTAAACATGATGAGAATATTTAACTGATACATAGATTAGTCAAAGTGATTATGAAAACAATGACAGCAGTTGGAATAACTCGTCATTTGTAGGTAGTGTTAATCATTCAGTCATGTCCTACGCTTTGCAACCCCATGGACTGTAGACCACCAGGCTCCTTTGTCCATGGAATTCTCCAGGCAAGAACCCTGGAGCAGGCTGCCGTTCCCTTCTCCAGGGGATGTGCCTGACCCAGCGATCGAATCCGGGTCTCCTGCATTGCAGGCAGATTCTTTACCAACTGAGCCACCAGGGAAGCCCAGTCATTTGTAGATCTGTGTACAAATTCACTAGTCCTCTGTTGTTATAAGACCAGAATGTTATAAGACCACTTGAAATATACTGAAGAAAAATACTACAAAATGATATACATGTATTTAGCCTTCTTGCCTTATTTTTAGGTACTTCTCAGTACTAGAACTGGTACCTGGGTTATCAACCGCTCTTCAGATGGGGGCTACCCATTTAATATGATGGTTTTAAGAAGACACCACAATTTTATTGCACAAGTTCTGCCCTCCTGTATTCTGAAGTGGATTCAAGAGAGGCGCCTCAATAAAAGATTTGACCATGTGAATTACGGACTAAATATTACTAAGGGGTATTTAATTATATTTTTATTTAATGGTAAAGTTATTTAATCAATATTTCTCATTCTCTTTAATTCAGAACTTAAAATGTCCAATAATTGTGACTTTGCCTTTGTTTATCCTTTTCTAAGCTTATTTTCTTAAGACAATGTCCATCAGTACCACAGAAGGTCTTGAAATAGGAGTATTCTCTGTCTGGTAGCAGACTAGTAAATGAAGAAAGAAGGATGGAAACTTTATTTCCAGTTTGAAAATCAGGATTAAAGTGGCCTTGAGTGTTCTCAGGTTGGCTACCATTCACAAGTAAATAACAGCACCAGTGAGCACAGATGGCCAGCTCTCACTAACCTTTAATAAATGTCCACACTCGCTGAATGATTAGAAGTATGAATTGCCAAAAGGAATCCCTAGAATTATATATTTTAATATACATCTGTATAGACCTACACACTGGCAAGAAAAAAGAAAACCTGGGAAATGCATATAAAGTTGTGATTTTTATTAAATGCTTGACCCAAATAGTTTTTCTTTGGTAAGATGGCTTTCACTTATGGAAAAAATGAATAACAATGAATGATTCAATATATAAATTTTATAGACATCTTGTCTGCTGCAATTAGGTAGAATGATGCTCATAATGAAAATATGAAAATGTTCATAAATGAAAATATGTTCACAATGAAAATCCATTAGTAAATAGATACAAATTTTTTAATCCAAAAAGTTTTTTGCAATTTCCTCTTTGCCAAATGTCAATCTTTGAGGCCTGGGTGATGTGAGATCCAAAACTGATATTCAAATGGACTGTCATATACTTGATCCTGACATTGCTCCAGAAATTAATTCCAAGGGAGAGAGAATTTTAAACCGCACAGGAAAAAATAGGTTTAGTCAATTTCTACATGCCTTCTACTGGGAGCAGGAAAACAAAACTTGTTACAGAAACAGCAAGTGACAACTTGAGAATAGACAATTAGACATTAGTCAATTTACTCCCTTGACTTGGCAGGTAATTATTTTGAACTGACTAAATAAATCATTTGATGAGTGTCTCATAAATATAGCTACAGTGAATAATTTTCTCCTCTGTGTCAAAGGAAAAAACCAAAAAGGATTGTGAATGATGAGCTGCCAACCTGTATCCTCTGTGGGACAGTCACTATTAAAACCAGCCTAAAGGAGTTCACAGAAACCTCTGCTGTCTTTGAAGACGGGACAGTGGAAGAAAACATTGATGCCGTGATCTTCACTACAGGATACACATATTCTTTTCCCTTTTTTGAAGAACCTCTCAAAACCCTTTGTACAAAGAAGATATTCCTATATAAGCTGGTCTTTCCCTCAAACCTAGAGAAGACAACATTAGCTATGATTGGCTTCATCCACCTTACAGGATCCATCTTAGCAGGCACAGAGCTCCAAGCGCGATGGGCCACAAGAGTATTCAAAGGTACCTGGACTCTACTTAAAGCCCATTGTGAACTGAGTCTTGAAATCAGTCCCTTGAGACTGATCTAAAATCCAACAAATGTGAGCTAAAGTACCATAAAATATCCAAAAAAAAATTTAATGAAGAATTAATTTTGTATGTATGTAATATTATAGTGATTGTGCTTATATCACTAATGTGAGTGGGGAAAGTGAGTGGAAAAAGAGGATTTGACTCTGTGGATAGGATAAATCTGAACAACAGAATAATCACACTTCTCAGAGTAGCTGAGGGAGTACTCAGGATCCCGTTTTCTTCTGCTGCAGTTGAATCAAGTCTAGTCTAGTCTGTTTACTCCTATCTTTCCATTTATCACTAGCAGTAGAGTTTTATATTGCTTCTTAAGAAAGAAATTGGGAGTAATATACACTGTGAATAAAGTTGGGGTCTAAGAAGATAGTGACTTTCAAGAAATGCCCATATAAACACTGTAGACCCTGGGCACTGATGGTTGTCAGTTATCACTGTCGGAACACAAGTGACAGAGTCAGGGCTACGAGAGTCCAATCCCAGTCCAATCCCAACTCATTAGCTTTGCAAGAACCTCTTTAAATCTCAGCCCCTTTGTTAAAATGGGAATAATAAAACCTCTCTCATAAGAGTTTTGTAAAATGAATAATGTCTACAAAGCAATTAACACAGTACTTGGCACAGAGTAAATGCTCATTAACTGACAGCTGTCATTCTTACTTTTACTATTATTATCATACCTCTCCAGGGCAAGTTTTACATATGTAAGCATTGTAAAGAATTGGATTTGTATTATTACATTTGTAAAAATATAAACAATAAAAACCACTGCAATGATGTAAAGTAATTAGCCTCCAACTAATAAAAATAAATGGAAAAAATATATATATATAAACAATAATCACAGTTGAGCCAATAATTTGTCCTTTAGCAGAATTTTGCCCTTAATGAATAAAAATCACCAATAATTTATAAATAGCATATAATACAGTATTAAGTAGTACCAACTTCCCTCACACTGCACAAATGTAATGTATATCAACTATACTTTAAAATGTTCTCCTAAATTGACAGACATGGTATTTTAATGGGGTGGTGGCAGGAGGTGGAGTGAAGGGAGGAGAAGGTGATTAGGAATCTCATTTATTTGTATTACACAAAAAATTCCATGGTCTTTTATTAAATTATCCAAATGTATATTTAAGCCAAATTAAAGTGCTTTTACAGCATTCTCCAATTATATTAAAAACACAGAAGACTCAAGTACCTGGGTTTTGGGGGGGTAATTATTTTTTTAATTGGAGAATAATTGCTTTACAATGTTGTGTTGGTTTCTGCCATACAACACCATGAGTCAGCCATAAGTATACATATATTCTCTCCCTCTTGAGCCTCCCTCCCACCCCCCCAGCCCCATTCCACCCTGCTAGGTTGTCACAGAGCACCAAGATGAGTGCCAGTTCCCACTAGCAAATTCCCACTAGCAATCTGTTTTACATACAGTAATATATATGTTTCAGTGCTATTCTCTCAGTTCATCCCACCCTCTTCCCCTGCTGTGTCCACAAGTCTGTTCTCTATGTGTTTCTATTCCTACTCCACAAATAGGCTCATCAGTACCATTTTTCTAGATGCCATATATATGAGTTAATATACAATATTTGTTTCTCTCTTTCTGACTTACTTCACTCTGTATAACAGGTTTCAGGTTCATCCACCTGGATTGGGATGATCCCCTGGAGGAAGGCATGGCAACCCACTCCACTATTCTTGCCTGGAGAATCCTATGGATAGAGGAGCCTGGTGGGCTACAGTCCAAGGGTCACAAGAGTCAGACATGACTGAAGAAACTTATCATGCACACATGCACCTCACTAGAACTGATGCAAATTCATTCCTTTTCATGGCTGAGTAATATTCCATTGTATATATGTACCACAACTTCTTTATCCATTCATCTGTCAATGGACATCTAGTTTGCTTCTGTGTCCTACCTATTATAAATACTGCTGCAGTGAACATTGGGGCACATGTGTCTTTTTAAATTATATTACCTGGGTTTTTAAAGTGTTTTATAATGAGCTCAAAAATGCTTATGAGAATGATAGAACTGACAAAAAAAAACTTTATTAGATCACACCACAGTAGTGATTGCATGCCTCTCCAGAGACCCTGCAAGGGAAACGTGGGTACCACCAAGTGGAATCTTTACAGCTTTATACAGGATACAATGATCCCAGTGGCAAGTACACTCCAGGGCTAAGTCAGAGCTTTCTCATGTAGATTAGTAAGTAGCCTGGTTAAGTGAGTTCAGAGAGGGATTTTACCTCCAGAAAATTATCCTCTGTACTCTATTCCTACTCTGTACTGTGTGCTGTGCTAAGTCGCTCAGTCGTGTCTGACTCTTTGCGATCCCAGGGACTATAGCCTGCTAGGCCCTCTGTCCATGAAATTCTCCAGGCAAGAATACCAGAGTGGGTTGCCATGCCTTCCTCCAGGGAATCTTCCAACCCAGGGATCAAACCCACGTCTCTTGCAGCTCCTGCATTGCAAGCAGATTCTTTACCACCTTGGGAAAGCCCCAATCCCATTCTAAGCTTTTGTTCTGAGGTTGAAGCAGTGGGAGGCCAGAAATGAGGGGGAAGAGAACTCAAAGGAAGAGCCGCATGTGACTTTGGTGTTGTTCTTCTGGCTTTTCTCACAGGACTCTGTAAGATACCACCATCTCAAAAACTGATGGCTGAGGCTATGAAGAAGGAGCAGCTCATAGAAAGGTATGAAAAATAGCCTGCTACAGGGAAAATTTACCATTATATTCCACTACAAAACATTTTTTCCAATATAAAAGCCACTCCTAGGGAAGCAGTGGGGCAAGTTGGAAATAATTGCATTATGAGCCAGAAGAATATATTTTTCGTCCTAACTCTTCCACCAGCTAGATTTGTGGTCCAGTGGTTAAGACTCCATGCTTTCACTGCAGCGGGGCATGAGTTCAGTCTCTGGTCAGGGAACTGAGATCCCTGCATGCCACACAGTGCAGTCAAAACAAAAATTTGATTTTTGGCTTTAGATGATGTGCCTGGTAGGGGCATCAGGTCGCCTCAGCAGAACACAGAACCTGGCCCTAGACAATTGCAATCCTTTGTTTCAGTTCAGTTCAGTTCAGTTCAGTTCAGTTGCTCAGTCGTGTCCGACTCTGCGACCCCATGAATCACAGCACGCCAGGCCTCCCTGTCCATCACCAACTCCTGGAGTTTACTCAAACTCATGCCCATCGAGTCGGTGATGCCATCCAGCCATCTCATCCTCTGTCGTCCCCTTCTCCTCCTGCCCCCAATCCCTTTCAGCATCAGGGTCTTTTCCAACGAGTCAACTCTTTGCATGAGGTGGACAAAGTATTGGAGTTTCAGCTTCAGCATCAATGAACACTTCCAATGAACACTCAGGACTGATCTCCTTTAGGATGGACTGGTTGGATCTCCTTGCAGTCCAAGGGACTCTCAAGAGTCTTCTCCAACACCACAGTTCAAAAGCATCAATTCTTTGGCGCTCAGCTTTCTTCAAAGTCCAACTCTCACATCCATACATGACCACTGGAAAAACCATAGCCTTGACCAGACAGGCCTTTGTTGGCAAAGTAATGTCTCTGCTTTTTAATATGCTATCTAGGTTGGTCATAACTTTCCTTCCAAGGAGTAAGAGTCTTTTAATTTCATGGCTGCAGTCACCATCCGCAGTGATTTTGGAGCCCAAAAAATAAAGTTTGACACTGTCTCCACTGTCTCCCCATCTATTTCCCATGAGGTGATGGGACTAGATGCCATGATCTTAGTTTTCTGAATGTTAAGCTTAAGCCAACATTTTCACTCTCCTCTTTCACTTTCATCAAGAGGCTTAGCCCCAAAACCCTGTTCTCTTTGTTCTTCTACTTCTCGGGCCATTCTTTCTCTATATTTACAAGTGTCTCCTCTTCCTCACTCCTAAAAATTGGTGAACCCAAACCTTAATCCTCAGACCTCTTCTTACTCCTGATAACACTAGTGGGTAACCTCACCAGGCCTGTGGCTTTAAATAACATCAGGTACTCATGGCTCCCAAACTTGGGTCTCTAACCCAGATCTCCCCTTGGAATTCCAAATCCTAAAACAACTCCCTCTAGGTATCTACACTTAAGATATGTAATAGGTATCTCGAACTTAAAAAAAAATTATTATGTATTTGGCTGCCTCAGGTCTTCATTGTGGCACACAGGATCTTCACTGCATCATATGAGATCTTTTGTTGTGGCACATGGGCTTTGATTCTCTGTGACTCGTGGTATCATAGTTCCCTGACCAGGGAGTGCAAGGTGGATTCTTAACCACTTGGCCACCAGGGAAGTCCTGGTGTCTCCAATCTAACATGTCTGGAAACTAACCCTCAACCTCCAGCGGCACGTGGGCTGCTCTGAGGCTTTCCCCTCCTCGGTTGATGGCTACTTACTCCAGTTGAACAGTCAAAAACCTTGGAGTGATCTTTTTTCCTCTTTTTCTGTCACATCCTCAGCAAATACTGTTAACTCTTACCCTCAGACAAATTCAGAATCCAGACCCCTCTCACTACCCTGGCTACTAACCACCCCAGAACAGGCCACCGTGGCCTCTCACCAGGACACTTGCAGTCACCTCTTATCTTGTCTCTGTGCCTCGTCTCTTCTCTTCTATGGTCTCCTCTTGACTCCACACAAGAGTGAACAATGCCACATTGCTCTTCTGTTGAAAACCCTCTGCTTCCCATTTCACTCCCAGAAACTTCCCTGCAGCTCTGCACCCATCCAGGCAACAGCTCCCTCTATGCCCTCATTGTCTCCTGTTCTCCCACCTTTCTCACACTACTCCAGTCACTCCAGACAGCTCCGTGGGCTTCAGGCATGCCCCAGAACCTTTGCACTTACTGTCTCCTCTGCCTGGAATGTTCTGCCCCCTACCCCATACCTGTTGCCTCACTCTGTTCAAATACCCCCTCATCAGAGAGAAGCCTTCTCTAAGAACACTGCATGAAATGGCAACCCACCCAGTCTCATCGTTGCCTCTCTCCTTTACCTGTCTTTTTAAGTCTTCTTAATTCCTCTTAATACTTGATATATTCTATATCTGTTTGGCTGGGGTTTTGTTGTTGCTTTTTTAATTTGTTTTTCACTGTGCCAAGTGGCATACAGGATCTTAGTTACCTGACCAGGAATAGAACCCATGCCCCCTATAGTGGGAGCATTGACTCTTAACCACTGACCAGCAGGAAAGTCCCTGGCTGGGTTTTTCACAGCCTGCTGCTCTGCCCTGTTGGAATGTAAGTTCCTTGACAGCAAAGACTTTGTTTTACTCACTGCTGGACTCCTAACACCTAGGATAATGCCTGTCATGTGACAGACACTTAAGACTGATTGACTGACTGAAGTAATGAATGAATAAGTGAAAGAATGACATTGGCACATCATGAAAATTTACTAATAACAGAAATAGATAGGGATAGAAACTTCCTATACACTATACATTTGGCCCTTGAACAATACAGGTTTGAACTGCATGGGTCCACTTATACGCAGATTTTTTTTTTAATATATTGGAAAAATTGAGGGAGGTTTGTGACAATTTGAAAACACTGGCAGATAAATCACAAAGCCTAGAAATATTGAAAAAATTAAGAAAAAGTTAGATATGTCATGAATGTGCAAAATATAGGTAGATATTAGTCTATTTTATCATTTACTGCCATCAAATATATAAAAATCTATTATAAAATTTAACATTTATCAAAACTTGCACACAGAAACACAGATCCTACATTGTACATTCACAAGCAAGAGAAATATAAATAAGTATAAACCATGCATGTGTGCTCACTCAGTCGTGTCTGACTCTGTGACCCCACAGACTGCATCCCTCCAGGTTCCTCTGTCCATGGGATAATTCCGGCAAGAATACTGGAATGGGTTGACATTTCCTCTTCTAGGGGATCTTCTCAACCCAGCGATCAAACCCGTGTTTTCTGCATTGGCAGGCAGACTCTTTACCACTGAGCCACATGGGAAACCCAAACAGTGTAAAGATGCAGTGTTAAATCATAACAGCATAAATTTAACTGTAGCAGTACTGCAGTAATTTCATAGCTACCTTCTGTTGCTATTGTGATGAGCTCAAGTGTTTCACATATCTGCTTAATATGTCATATATATGACCCTAATCATCTCTGCATGAACAGTTCATCTCGCCAGCAAATTTCATATCACAGTAAAAAGTGATCTCTCACATTTCTCATGTATTTTTCATCGTGATTCGTGCAATAATGTAAACCTTGAATCACAACACGGGACCCATTAGAGTGCCACTAGTGATGCTGGAAGTGCTCCCAAGAAGCAGAAAAAAGTCCCAAATTTACAAGAAAAGTTGAATTGCTTGACATGTACTATAGACTGAGGTCTGCAGCTGCAGTTGTCTGTCATTTCACAATAAATGAATTCAGCATAAGGACCATTATAAAAAAGAAAATTTGTGAAGCCATCACTGTACCTGTGCCAGCAGGCATGAAAATCTTGCACTTTTTGTGAAATATTTTTTCACCTTGTGTTGAAAATGCAGCTTTTATATGTGTGCAGGATTGCTATAGGAAAGGCATACTTATGGACTTTTATAGATTTGAAAAACAGTGAAGTCGTTATATGACAACTGAAAGCAAAAGAAACGTGAAGAAGTACTTAATGCTAGAGAAGGATGGTTTCCTGATTTTAGAAAGCAGGGTCTTTAAAAAAGAAAGTCAAGATAATAGGAAGAGCAGCTTCTGTTGACCAAGAGGAAGCAGACAGAGCTCCAGGATGCTGTTAAGACAGTCACTGGAGAAAAAGGATATCTGCCTGAAGCGGTGTTTAATGCAGACAAAAGTGCCCTATCCTAGGGATGGCGGATAGCAGAGTGCCACAAAGGACATTTATTATTAGAGAGGAAAACTGAACACAAGAATTTAAGGCAGGAAAGCATAGGCTAACTCTACATTCATGTGTAAATACAGTCGGGTTCATGGTCACGTTGGTTGTTCAGTCGTGTCTGACTCTTTGTGACCAATGGGCTATATAGCCCGCCAGGCTCCTCTGTCCATGGAGTTCTCCAGACAAGAATACTGGAGTAGGTTGCCATTCCTTTTTCTAGAGGATGGGTTCACAGTCAGGACTGCCCTTAACTGTAAAACTGCTAACCGCCCCTCCCCCCCCAGCCTTTAAGGGAAAAGATAAATACCAGCTACCAGTCTTTTCATTGTACAAGAAGAAGGCCTGGACAATGACAACCCTTTTTCTGGATTAAACCCAGTTCCTTCACTGCTCTGTCCCTAAAATCAGAAAGCACCTTGGCAATAAGTGACTGTCTTTGAAAGTTCTTTTGATATTGGATACTCCCCTGGCTACCCAGAACACAAAGCGTCTGAAGTGCTCTATGGAAATGACTGTCAGTGCTATGGAAGAGAATCCCAATAAAGAGAATATCGTGAAAGCCTGGAAGGATCACACCACTGAAGATGCCATCGTTGTTAGAGAAAAAGTGAAAGCCACCAAGCCTGAAACAGTAAATTCCTGCCGGAGAAAACCATGTCCAGATGTTGTGTGTGACTTCACAGGGTTTACAATGGAGCCAGTCAAGGAAATCATGAAAGAGACTGTAGACATGGGAGGGGGCGGGGAAGGTGGGGAGTGAAGGGTTTCAAGATAAGGATCTTGGAAAAATTCGAGAGCTAATAGACCCCACGCCAGAGGAGTTGACAGAAGACAATTTGATAGGGGGATGAGTGCTTCCAAACCAGGGCAAGAGGCTGAGGAAGAAGACACAGGAGAAGCAGTGCCAGAAAGCAAATTGACATCAGACAATCTGGCAAAAGGATTCCAGTTATTTAAGACTGATTTTGACTTCTTTTACAGCATGGACCCTTCTATGATACAGGCACTGAAACTTAAGCAAATGATGGAAGAAAAATTGGTATCATATAAAAACATTTTTAAAAGAAGTGAAAAAGCAAAAAAGTCAGACAGAAATTATAGTGTATTTCCATAAAGTTACACGACACGTGCCTGTCTCTCCAGCCTCCCCTTCCACCTCCTCACCTCTTCTCCCTCTGCCACCCTGAGACAGCAAGATCAACCCCTACCTTCCTCCTCCTCTGCCTACTCAATGTGAAGACAACAAGGATAAAGACCTTTATGATGATCCACTTCCTCTTAAAGAATAGTAAATAATCATCATGCCCCACTGTTAATAGATTTATCTGTTGTGTATGTGTCTTCATGTGAAAATCTAAACCTGTACAGCAAGAAGAGAAGAGAAGTTTTTGTGTCATCATCATCATCACTGCTTAAGTATTTATCATATAGAACTTCATGTGTAAGACTTGCAGGGAGTGGATAGCCCATCCTTGCATAGGCATAAGGTGAGTGACATTTACAGTAATATAAAATTAATAATGTGTTAGCTTTCTTATTGGTTTCTTATTGGTTTCTAACTTTGATTTCAAAGAATTATATTACTGTACAATATGCCTCTTTCTTTCATATTTGGAGAAAAAGTCCATCATCACAGGTAAGTGGGGTTTTTTTAATGTAACAATGTTTCCAATACTGTACTATGAATATGACTATAATACCATACACCATAAAAATTTTATAATGATTCATTCATTATTATGTAGGCCAGGCTTCCATGAAATAATCATATTGCTACTGCTTCTTCATTATCAATGTATGATTCATTATACTTGTAAATAAATATGAATTTCTTCTTCACATTATCTTTTCATTTTTGATGTCCAGCGTTAGGAATACAAATAACATCTACAGTGTTTTGTATCATATAAGACAATATTGATGTAGGTACCAATAGATAATTCATCTTATAAACAGACAACATAAACTTATGGTATTGAGTATAGTATGGTACTGTAAATATATTTTCTCTTTCTTATGGTTTTCTTAATATCATTTTCTTTTCTCAGTTTACTCTAAGAATACAGTATAGGATCATATAACATACAAAATATGTGTTAATCTGCTTACGCTATCAGTATGGCCTTTAGTTTACTAATAATTTATTAGTAGTTAAGTTTGAGGGGAGTCAAGTTTCACTTAGATTTTCAACTATATGGGGGGTTGATACCCCAACCCCCTCATTATTCAAGGGTCAACTGTACTTACATCTGTGTCATGTTCAGTTCTGCTGCACCAAGTATGATCCTCTCGACTCACAATTAACATCAATAAAAATAATTCAGGTGGTTATATATGTGATGCATTCTGATCATATTTATTTGTTCAATAACTGAGGCATCTGGACTGATCTGATTTGACCCTCATATCAAATTCAAGAACCGGAAACATTATTTAAAGCTCCACTTCCAATCGTCTATCGTCTTCTTCTGCCATCTCCTTTAACAAAATTAATTACACTCACAAATACCCTAAGCAAATAAACTTTTTTTTTTCTCTCCAACATAGGAAAACATTCCCAACATGGTTTGACTCCAGCGGAAAGAAACAAAATGGTGGGAGGTGGGGAAACTCATAACTTGAACATCAAGTGATCCATCTTCTTCCCTCTCAGGGGTTTGATGAAAGATGCCAGTACAGACAAACTTGACTACATTTCCTACCTGGATGACCTCGCTTCCTTCATAGGCGTAAAGCCCAACATTCCACTTCTGTTCATCAAGGATCCCAGACTAGCGTGGGAAGTTTTCTTTGGACCATGTACTCCTTACCAGTATCGCCTAATGGGCCCCGGGAAATGGGATGGAGCCCGAAATGCCATCTTGACCCAATGGGACAGGACACTGAAACCCTTAAAAACTCGAACCATTCCTGGTTCCTTCAAACCTGCCTCCATGTCACATTATTTGAAAGCCTGGGGGGTACCTATACTGCTTGCTTCCCTTCTGCTGATCTACAAATCTTCCATTTTTTTGAAATTGGTGCCAGAAAAACTACAGGACAGAATATCCCCTTACTTAGTAAGTATTCGGTGAGGGTAAATCTGATGGGTGATGAGGATTGGCCCCAGTCATATTAATTCTGTTCCCAAATATCTTGTGTTTCCCCTCTCCTCTCCATCACAGCTGGTATCATCCAAGTTTAGGTCTAATCATCTCTTACCTGAATTATCGTTCTATCTTCCTCTTAAGTCTCAGTACCTCCTTTCTTGCCTCCTTTACCTAAGCAATTGTTCTAAAATAAAAAATACTGTCATTGTTTCCATCAAGATCCTAGTAGGAACAAGACAGAGATCAAATTAGGTAATTTGTAGAAACTTTATATAAAGATTATGTCCAATGGTTTGAGCAGAGGGTAGGGAAATCATAAGTAGAATGAAATACTCCCAGACTAGTAACCGTGAGATGCTTTTACCATCCATAGTTTTTCTAAAGAGGCAAAGGGAGAACAAATATGAATAAAAGAGTGAGGTTATGTGGAGAGGACCACCTCTCAAGAGCTGTGATCTCCAGCTCACCACTGAAGGCAGTCCATGGTGACCCCAAAAGTACAGAGCTAGGGAAATTCATTGCCTAATCTTACGTTCTTCCCTCCCTCTGATCTTCTGCCCATGCTTCTCAATGGCCTAACCCAGCTAAAATTCAGAAGGCAAGGTTACTGACTATTGTGGATTTAATTGCATTCATTCCCCCCAAAATATAGTCAAGTTCTAACCTCTGGTACCTGTGAACTTACTTGGAAATAGGATCTTTGAAAATGTACATAAGTTAAAAATAAGATCTTTGCAAATGTACATAAGTTGAGATCATATTGAAATAGGGTGAACTAGATCCAATATAAAAAGAGGATCCTTATAAAAACAGGATAAAGCTACTTTCTGGTGATCTAGTGACTAATTAGACTCCAGGCTCCCAATGCAGGGGGCCCAGGTTCGATCCCTGGTCAGGGAATTAGACCCCATATGCCTCAACTGAAGATCTCGCATGCTGCAACTAAGACCCAGTGCAGCCAAATAAATAAATTTTTTAAAGAGAGAGAGAGGCTAAGACACAGAGACATAGTCACAGTGGAGAATACCATGTGAAGTCAGGCAGAAGTTGGAATGATGCATCTACAAAGCAAGGATCGCCAAGCAAGCAAACACTGAAAGAGACACAGAACAGATTCTCTCTCAAAATCCACAGAGGAAAAAGCCCCACCAACAACAAGTCCAGACTCCTAGCCTCCAGAATTGTGAAAGAATAAGCCACCCACTTTGCTATGGCAATCTTAGGATATGATACACCAGCTGATGTTTCCTGTGGAGGTCAGCCTCCTAGGCCACAGTGCAGAGCAAAGGTGATGGAGAGTGTATGTGGAAGGACAACCAGAAAGGATCCAGAGCAGACATGTTGCTTTCCAGTTTAAAAATCCTGCAAAGTTTCTCCATGAATTAGAGATAATAAATTCCTTAGCCTTGAAGAGGAGACTCTTCCTGATCTGAGTCCATTTGCCCAGGTCACCGGAATCCTGGACTGTAACCACCCCTCCTCTTCAAAATCCTACCATCTAGCCCTCATACCTCCTCACTTTGGCATAAGCTGTTGCCTTTTCCAGCTATGCAAATTCACACCTGACTGTCTTTCTAGGGTGAGCTTGATTATCTCCCTTTGTGAAGCCTTCTCTGAGTCCCCAAAGCAGAGTTGACTGCCACTACATAATGACTGGGCTTCCCTGGTGGGCCAGATGGTGAAGAATCTGCTTGCAATGCAGGAGATTCAGATTCAATTCCTGAATTGGGAAGATTCTCAGGAGAAGGGCATGGCAACTCACTCCAGTATTCTTGCTGGAGAATTCCATGGACAGAGAAACCTGGTGGGCTACAGATCACGGGGTTGCAGAAGAGTTGAACATGACTGAGTAACTAACACTTCCACTTTCTTTCATTTTTCATGACTGCCATCTCACATACTACTCCATCATTGTTCTGTTCTTACTATAACATTAATGTAATTCTCTTTTTGTGTCCATCTCCTAATAAATGGTGGGTTCTTGAGAGGAACCATCATCTTGTCCAGCTAAAACACTGCCTGATAAAAATACTGCAAAATAAATATTTGATGACTAAACAGTGGCTTCACTGGCTGCCATTCCTTGTCTCTCTTCTACCCACATTCTTTTCTTCTGCCAACTTGATAAATTACTTCAGACTACTTCAGCTCTGCAAATGAACAAGGACTGTCCACCAACATATAATTTTATAAGACAATCCAAGTGGCAGTCAGAATATATACAACTGATCAGCAACTGGGAGCCAGGAGTACTGATGGAAAGCGCTAACTCTAGAATTCAACCTGGATTATAATCCCAGCTCTGCCATTAACTGTGTGAAGCTTTGATCAAGTTACTTAGCTGCTGTGATTCTCAAGTGTCCTCATCTGGAAAATGAGGAGACAAGAATATTACCTACCTCAAAAGTAAACATGAAGTGAGACAATATAGGGTGTTACTTACATAGTTAATTAACTATTAACAGCTGAAGAGTTTGAGGACATTTTAAATTCTCTGAATTAAAGGATTGGAAAACTATGGCCTGGCTCTATTCCCTGTTGCCTAATCAGAGAGTATGGCCTCAGCTGTCTGTGGCCCACCTGGTAGCACCTTCCAACTAGGATCCCTCTTTTGTCCTTGTGTTCCCCTCTCCCCCCAAGACCTGAGGCCATTGCCACCACCATCGCTGCCATCACCATGGCACCACTCACATGCTTTCACACAGACCTTCCAGGATGCAGCAAGCCAGCAATACCAAAGGAAGAATTATTCTCCATCATTAACAGTGGACCTCCTGACATAACTTGTTGATGTGTCTCTAGGGTTTTATTGACAACAAGCCCTGGGCAAAGAAGCACCTAATTCCAGATCTTCAAAACCAACTAAAACTCACCAGTAGGAGCAGTGTTGTTGGAGGATGGAAGGAACAAAAAGTGCCCACCAAACTGAGAAGGTATCTTGAGACTGAAAAATGAGGTGGACACCTCCATGTAATCACTGGATCACATATTACAAGGAAGCTTACTCACAGGGTGGGATCTGGATCAAGCAGACAATGATCCCGAAGTGTTCACAGCTGCACTCCACACCACCAAAGGGGTCTTGGAACACTTTTACAGTTTACCTAGGCTATGAGCATATGTCCTTGGAAACAGGACACGCATTCCTAAGTTAAGATTTTTGAACAAGTTAACTAGTCTCATGAGTACTAGAATACATCAAGGAAGGTTTTCCTTATTGTTTGGGGACTATTAGAGCATAGAGGCCACCTGGTCCTAATGATTCTTAAACAATATCATTAACTATAAAGCCCTTGACAATGGAGAAGTGATCTGCTACACAGTACAGTCCTGGGTAGGGTCAGTGAAAGGACAGGAGAAATTGTAAAGACCTAAGATGACCCTCAGAGCAGCAGCTCGGGGTCCATCCACCTCCTCGATTGACAATGAAACACAGGTCCCAAGGGTGATTCATAGTCCCATAACATTTAGAAATATTATTAAAGTCATTTTAATTTTTATCACTTATTATATAATTCATATTTTTAAACATAAAAGTATAATTTAAATGAAATTGACAATATTAAAGAAGCATTAGGAGGCAAACCACATTTCCTAAGTTCTTTCAAGGAAATCAAAAATAAACCAGCTGTAAAAGTCTCTTGTTCAACAATAAAATCTGCTCAAAGCTCAGCATTACAATAAGATACTTCTGTATCTTATTATCTTATTCTACAATTTTGGAAGATTTATCTCCGCCAAAAGAAATTTTTCAAGTGTAGGGGAAGTCTCTTTTTTGAAAGGACTAAGCTTCAGTTCAGTTCAGTTCAGTTCAGTCACTCAGTCCTGTCTCTTTGCGACGCCATGAACCACAGCATGCCAGGCCTCCCTGTCCATCACCAACTCCCAGAGTCCACCCAAACCCATGTCCATTGAGTCGGTGATGCCATCCAACCACCTCATCCTCTGTCATTCCCTTCTCCTCCTGCCCTCAATCTTTCCCAGCATCACGGTCTTTTCAAATGAGTCAGCTCTTTGCATCAGGTGGCCAAAGTATTGGAGTTTCAACTTCAACATTAGTCCTTCCAATGAACACCCAGGACTGATCTCCATTAGGATGGATTGGTTGGATCTCCTTGCAGTCCAAGGGACTCTCAAGAGTCTTCTCCAGTGCTCGCTTCGGCAGCACATATACTAAAATTGGAAAGATACAGAAAAGATTAGCATGGCCCCTGTGCAAGGATGACACACAAATTTGTGAAGCGTTCCATATCTTTGACACAGATGTACAGAACAGACTTTGGGACTCTGTGGGAGAAGGCGAGGGTGGGATGTTCTAAGAGAACAGCATTGAAACAAGTATACTATCAAGGGTGAAACAGATCACCAGCCCAGGTTGGATGCATAAGACAAGTGCTCAGGGCTGGTGCACTGGGAAGACCCAGAGGAATCGGGTGGGGAGGGAGGCGGGAGGGGGGATCGGGATGGGGAACACATGTAAATCCATGGCTGATTCTTGTCAATGTATGGCAAAAACCACTACAATATTGTAAAGTAATTAGCTTTCAACTAATAAAAATAAATGAAAAAAAAAAAGAGTCTTCTCCAACACCACAGTTCAAAAGCATCAATTCTTCAGCACTCAGCTTTCTTTATAGTCCAACTCTCACATCCATACATGACCACTGGAAAACCATAGCCTTGACTAGACGGACCTTTGTTGACAAAGTAATGTCTCTGTTTTTCCATATGCTATCTAGGTTGGTCATAACTTTCCTTCCAAGGAGTAAGCGTCTTTTAATTTCATGGCTGCAGTCGTCATCTGCAGTGATTTTGGAGCCCAGAAAAATAAAGTGAGCCACTGTTTCCCCATCTATTTCCCATGAAGTGATGGGACAGGATGCCATGATCTTAGTTTTCTGAATGTTGAGCTTTAAGCCAACTTTCTCACTCTCCTCTTTGACTTTCATCAAGAAGCTTTTAGTTCCTCTTTACTTTCTGCCGTA